GACAGACTGTTAAAAAGTCTTACCAAATATTGGATGAAATCATGAGAAATTGTAAACATACAGTACCAAATCCGACCGAATATTGGATAAAACCAAGAGAAATTGTGGAGACAGTTCAAAAATCTCACCAAATATTGGATGAAATCATGAGAAATTGTAAACGTACAATACCAATTCCGTCCGAATGTTGGATAAAACCATGAGAAATTATGGAAACACAATGCACAGTGCGACCAATATTGCATAACACCATGAGAAATTGTGGACAGACAGTTAAAAAGTCTGACCAAATATTGGATGAAATCCTGAGATATTGTAAACATACAGTACCAAATCCGGCCGAATGTTGGATGAAATCATGAGAAATTATGGACACACAATGCACAGTGCGACCAATGTTGAATAAAACCATGAGAAATTGTGGACAGACAGTTAAAAAGTCTGACCAAATATTTGATGGCAGCATGAGAAATTGTACACGTACCCAACATACCAAATCTGACGAAATATTGGATGAACTCATGAGAAATTTTAAACAGACAGTGCCAAATCCGCCCGAATATTAGAAAAAACCATGAGAAATTATGGACACACAATGCACAGTGCGACCAATATTGGATAACACCGTCAGAAATTGAGGACAGACTGTTAAAAAGTCTTACCAAATATTGGATGAAATCATGAGAAATTGTAAACATACAGTACCAAATCCGACCGAATATTGGATAAAACCATGAGAAATTATGGACATACGATGTACAGTGCGACCAATATTGGATAAAACCATGAGAAATTGTAAACATACTGTACCAAATGCGACCGAATATTGTATAAAACCAAGAGAAATTGTGGACAGACAGTTCAAAAATCTCACCAAATATTGAATGAAATCATGAGAAATTGTAGGCTGGCAGTACCAAATCCGCCTAAATGTTGGATGAAATCATGAGAAATTGTAGACAGGCCGTACAAAATTCGACCAAATATTGGATGAAAAAATAAAGGATCTTGAACGGAAAGTTCCCAAACCGGCACAAATAATAAATAGATTTGTGGAGACGATTCCTAATGCAATCAAACATTTGTACTACCAGAACAAAATCAGTCCAAATATTAATAAAATAATAAGGGATTTTGAATATAAAGTTCCCAAACCCGTCGAAATATTGGATGCAATAGTAAAGATTTGTGGACAGACAGTACAAAATCCGACCGAATATTGGATGCAATCGTAACGATTTGTGGACTGATAGTATAAAATACGACCGGATATTCAATGAAATCATGAAAAATTGTAAACATAAAGTGCCGTGAGAAATTGTGGACAGGCAGTGCCAAATCCAACCAAATATTGGGAGAAAATAAGGAATTTGTGGACAGACAATCCGCAAAGGGTGAAAAGTGATGGTAATGTTTTTGGAAAAATGCCAGGTAAACTTGATTTGACCCAAAATATTTTTCCAATAGTGGTCTCAATAATACAGAATTTGTGGTGAGGAGCGTTTTGGGTACAACGACAGGAAACATGACGGTGGCCAAAATAATTTTACACGATCTGACCAATATTGGACGAAACCGTAATGAATTTTTAGACTGAGTCCATGAAGGGTGTGATTGTTGTTCATGTTTGGGAAAAAACCTCCAGGTATCCTTGAGATTGATCCAAATTTTTTCAACCAGGCCGACCAATATTGGATGAAATCATGAGGAGTTGCGTTCTTTTTTCCAGAATTCCAGCCAGCTTCTCTCCCGTCCCGATGCCAATTTGTGTAATAGAAAAAAATCCGTTTTCAACACGGCGTACTTCATTTCCTCTGTGGAATTGGTCCAATAATCCGTTTCAACCGTCACAGCCCAAAAAGAAATCCAACAAAATTTTTATTACCCTGATGAAAGCGTTTATAGTAAAATTCGAAACGCTAAGCCGAACGGCTAAAATTGACAGTAGATTTTTTTTGTTGAAAAATTTGACCAAGGGTTATTTACAGTCACAACCTGATATTGCCGAGGAGGATACAAGGGTCATCGGGGTTGGGGTTCGAAGGTCATCGCGACAATATAGGTTTTGTTTTTTAACAAAGTCCTAATGATGATGTTGAGGTTAATTGGCAGCTCCACCCTCGAGGAAGTAGGTGACCATGTCTCCTTTCCCTTTGACCTGTATCGTCCCCCTGCAGGTGAGCGGGTACCCCCTCGCCGCAAGTATCGTGTACACCTCCTGGGTCACCTGGATCTTGTCGACTATCCCCGTCGAGTCCATCCTGCTCGCCACGTTCACCGCGTTGCTCCAGATGTCGAACTGAGGCTTCCTCGAACCGATGACCCCGGCCACGACGGGCCCGATGTTGATCCCTGGCAAACAGGCACCTTTAGAAAACAACAACAACAACAACTAAAACAGCCGAAAACATCTACCGATCCGAATGCGGAAGTTGTTGAAAGAATGCTGGTTGACGTAGCTGAGCTGTTCCTTGATCCGAAGGGCGTAGTCGGCCATCGCGGTCACGTGCTTCAGGTCCTTCATGTCGCATGTCGCTTTCGTCAAACCTAAAATACCAAAACAATAAAATAATTGTAATAATCTAGAATCAGGGATAATCTTTGACTTAAGGTTGTTCAAAATTTGGCTTGGAATGAAGATTCTAGACATGAAGACGGAAGGTACCTACGCCATTGGATAATCCCACCTTAGATTAATCCTATTAATCCAGAATATTTAAATCTGCTTCCACAGTACTTCATCAAGTTCAATTCTCGTTACTTCAAGTTCATTTCTTTTATACTTTGGATGACAAGGATTAGAGTGAATATTGGATTAAGAAATATATTAATCCAAGGTGGGATTATCCCAAGGCTTGGCCAATCTGTAATCTCTCCTCAAGAGATTCAACTCTGCCAACATTCATTCCTTTTACCCTTTGGAAGGCAAGGATTAGTGCGGATATTGGATTAAGAAATATATTAATCCAAGGTGGGATTATCCCAAGGCTTGGTCAATCTATAATCTCTATTAAGAACTTCAACTCTGGCAACATTCTTTCCTTTTACCCTTTGTAAGGCAAGGATTAGTGCGGATATTGGATTAAGAAATATATTAATCCAAGGTAGGATTATCCCGACTTGGCTAATCTATAATCTCTTTTCAAGTACTTCAACTCTGGCAACATTCATT